GAAAACCTTGCTCAAAAATTGCTCAACCCGAGCTTGAAATGCCCAAAAATGGCAAAAGCTCGGAACCCCTCTGTTTTTGTATTGCCCAGGGGTTTTCGCATTCGCGGTGATTTCTTTGCACCTGCGGTAAATTTTTTGCACCCGCGGCCTTCGCATCTGCGGCAAATTTTTCGCACCCGCGGTGCCTGGCCAGCCCATGAATATTCCGCTTCCGCGACTCATTTCTCGCATCCGCGAGCCGCACCTGCGGCCTTTTTTCGCGCAGGTTCGATCACACCAGCAGCCCAGCTGCTTCAGATCCTCCTCCAAATCCAAATTCGATCCGTTAAGCATCCCAAACACACCCGATGCCCTCGGGACCCCGTCCGAACATACCAACAAGTTTCATAACATAACACGGATCTATTCAAGGCCTCAAATCATATCAAACAACATCAAAACGATGAATCGCACCTCAAATCAAAATCTATGAACTTTGAACTTTCAAATTCTATATCTTGTGCCTAAACATATCAAATCAATCCGGAATGACTTCAAATTTTTTACACAAGTCATAAATGACATAACAAAGCTATTCAAATTTTCAGAATAATATTTCGACCCCGATATCAAAAAGTCACCCCCCGGTAAAACTTCCCAAAAATTTAACTTTCGGCATTTCAAGCTTAATTCCACTACAGACCTCCAAATAATTTTCCCGACACGCTCCTAAGTCCAAAATCACCATACAGAGCTATTGAAATCATCAAAATTTCATTCCGGAGTCGTTTTCTCAAAAGTCAACTCTCCGGTCAACTCTTTCCATTTAAGCTTTAAATTAAGGATTGTTCGTTTAATTAAATTCAATATCTTTAGTAAATCAAACTCGACCACACCCGCAGGTCATAATACATATTGCGAAGCTGCCCGAGACCTTAAGTCATTGAACGGGGCGTAAATTCTTAAAACGACAACTCGGGTTGTTACACGGACATAGTCACGACCCGAGAGGAGAGACTAGAGAAGAGACTTGAAATTAAAGTAAAATAAACACCTCTTGAGGCCGGGATGCAAGGCCTAAATGCTATGAACTGGAGACTTTATTTACTTCAAAGTTATTACAAGACTACAATAGAGAGAGAAAGAGAGAGAGAGATTTACAAGAGAGAGATTTACAAGAGAGAGAGAGAGAATTTTGGCTAATGCCTCTCTCGGAATGAAGAATGATCCTATATATAGAAAGAGAAAAGAATATATGCACAGTAAAATGGGTCCCATATGTGGGTCCCTTATACAGTGAATGTACTGTGTAAACAGTGTATCTACTAATTAGTGGGGTCTGTATACAGTGTTTCTACTGTGTAAACAGTGTATCAACTGTTGAGCGGGGTCTCCGGCGGCTTCACTGTTGATCATACTCCTCGTTTTTCTAATTCTTTCATCTGCTGGATGGAATCTTCAGCATTTTCTACGGCTTCATCAGATAATATCTGCTCTGATTGAATAGGCTGGGAATCTTCTACAATATCATCGTTGCTTGTTTCACTACGCATTGAAGTGTCAGATTTTTCATACTGATTAATAGATTGAAGCAAGTTTCTTTTTACTTCTTCTAAATATTTATTAATCATCTCATCTTTATCTCCTTCTTGAAAAGAGATTCTTCTAGCAATATGCATGACTGAGCTATCATCAATTATTCCCTTCTAGGGAGCTGCTGAGTATTCTTGGATTTTTGCTCCAATAGAATCGAAGAGTTCTTGACCGTATAACATTTTTGTCTTGGGATCCTTTTTCATTAATTTATCCCAAAAATTGTTGTAAAATATCCTATATAAGCAAGGAATTTGTTCTTAAGTGAACCCCAGCTCGGGAGTCAATTTATGAATCCATGGAATAGAGAACTCTATAAAGAAATATATTTGGTCAATTTTTTCCAAATAGCTGATATGATCTGCGTGGTATAACTCGTTCTAAAATTTAGTCCATTCTTTGTATAACATAAGAAATGGGTCAGGTAATATCTTGACTATTGGACCGTGGTATGACCACCAATTTAAGAACCAATTAAGAATGGGACCTGCAAATATCTTTGCACATACCTTTATGAACCAGGTATGTTTATGTCTCTCATTATTATAATAAAGCACTTTATCAAAGGCTTGAATATAATCCCAATATGTGAAATTCATTCGAGATTTGTTGAGGCTTATCTGCCTTTCTTTCATTATGGAAATCCCCCAATCTTCAACAGATATAATCTGTTTAATAATAACTTTTGAAAAGTTATAAACATTCTCATCTGTGCTATAACCGGAAAAATGCTGAAATTCTGCACTGCCTGTGCTAGTGAGAATAGTCTCATAATTAGAACGGGTTTTGTATGACTCACCCGGATAATACAATCCATTAATTAAATACCTTTGGAATATCTTTCAGGGTTCATCTTTTCTTTATATCTCAGAATTTTCCAAAAGAAATATCATTTCTTTTTTAGGCAATTTTTCATAGGACTTTATATCATCAGTGTCCTCTTTGGCAATTGAAGCAAACGTATCACTTTGCTTTTGAGCAGCCAAATATGCCTGCATGAGTACACCACAATGGTACCCAGTATGTGTCAAGCCTAACCTCGGTCAAGTAGTGAGGTGGTCAGGTTAAGGCCCTACCGGAGTAAATATAGTAAATTAAACAGTAAAAGATATAAGTAAAATTTATGATAACACAGTTAAAAAGGGAGCCCTCGGCTCAGAACAAGGTAAACACAGTGGAAAATCTCTCGGGATACTATCCGGTAGTTTCAAGTGAATATGCAGTACAAGGGGATCTCCCGGAATACGTCTGTAGTCCCAAAGTAAATATGCAGTGCTGGGGGATCTCCCGGAATGCGTCTGTAGTCCCAAAGTAAATATGCAGTACAGGGGGATCTCTCGGAATACGTCTGTAGTCCCAATTTAAATATGTAGTACATGGGGATCTCCCGGAATACGTCCGTAGTCCCAATTTAAATATGCAGTATAGGGGGATCTCCCGGAATACGTCCGTAGTCCCAATTTAAGTATAGGGGGATCTCCCGGAATACGTCCGTAGTCCCAATTTAAATATGCAACGCAAGATGAAATGACAGGTATGACATCGAGTTATACAGTTTATACTAGACATAGATAAGGCAAATAAGGACTTAACTAAACATGATGCACAAAATGTCAATTAGGCAGTTAAAACACGTAAACATGCTTCTCTAGTCTAAGTTTCAAAATTAAACGTATTATGCAATTTAATAAGGAAAAACAATTTATGATGTAGAAAGGAAAAACGGGATTTTTGCAATAATAGCCCGTGTATGTACTCGTCACCTCACGTACACGGTGCCCACACACCAAATAATATCAAGATATCCTAAGGGGGAAGTCCCCAACAAAGGGTTAGGCAAGCCACTTACCTCGAACCGCTCAAATCAACTCGATATCACGTTCTTGCCACGAGTATCCGACTCCAAATGGCCGGAATCTATTCAAAACAGTACAATAACATCAATACGCGCTAATGGAATGTATCCCACAAGAAAACTACAGAAATTAGCCCAAAAACCAGAAATTGGCGCAAACCCGGCCCACGGGCCCACGTCTCGAAACTCGACAAAATTCATGAAACTAGAAAGCTCATTCAATCACGAGTCTAACCATATCAAATTTACTAAAATCCGACACCAAATGGTACTCCAATCCACAATTCAAACTCCCAAATTCCTAGTCTCCAACTTCCAATTTCACCTTAAATACACATTAACTAGGTGGAAACATACATGGCAAGGAAAGATTATTGACCAAAAATAAGCACAAGGAACTTACCTTAAGAAATGCCTCGAAAATGCTCTCAAAAATCGCCCTAACCTGAGTTTGCAAAGACAAAAATGATAAAAATCGCGAAGCCCTTCGGTTTTAATCACTGCCCAGGTATTTCCGCCCCTGCGGAACCTGGGCTCGCACCTGCGGGTGCGCTTATGCTGAAAAATGTGCGCATCTGCGCAACTCACTTACCCACTATGCCTTCGCATCTACGACGAAAGGGCCGCATCTGCGCACTCGCGCATGCGGAGTCCCTTCCGCTTCTGCGCATCTTGGGCATTTGCGAACGTCCTTGCGCAAATTGCGGGCATCGCAGATGCGGAAACTTCCTCGCACCTGCGACCCCAGGCCAACTCTCGATATATCGCATCTGTGCTTCCATCTCCGCATGTGCAGCTCGCGCACCTGCGGTCTCTTTTACGCAGGTGCGAAAACACCAGAACCAGCAAAGTTCAGAAATTCCTCTAAGTCCAAGTTTTCACCCGTTAAGCATCTGAAACACACCCGAGGCCCCCGGGACCTCAACCAAACATACCAAGCAATTCTAAAACACCTTATGAACTTAGTCGAGCTCTCAAATCCCATTAAACAATGCTAAAATCACGAATCACCCTCCAATTCAAACTTAAAGAATTTAAAACTTCAAAATTCTACAACCGATGTTGAAACCTATCAAATCACATCCGATTGACCTCAAATTTTGTGCACAAGTCATAATAAACATTACGAACCGACAACCACTTTCGGAATTCCATTCCGAACTCGATATCAAAATTTCCACTGTCGGCCGAAATCGCCGAAAAACTAGCTTCCGCCAATTCAAGCCTAAATCTGCTACAGACCCCCAAAACACATTCCGGACGTGCTCCTAAACCCAAAATCACTCAACAGAGCTAACGAAGTTGACGGAATTCCATTCTGGATCCGTCTTCACACAGTTCCGACTACGGTCCAAATCCTAAGGCTTAAGCTCTCATTTAGGGACTAAGTATCCCAAAACACTCCGAAACTCAAAACCAATCATCCCGGCAAGTCACAAAAGCAAAAACAAATAAGGGAAAAGCAGATATTAGGGGATCAGGACTCAAATTCTCAAAACGACCGGCCGGGTCGTTACAGATTCTCCTTTGGGAGATATCTTCTCATTAGTTAAGCTCCTTCTTCCCATTTGTATCACTGAGGAGTTAGATAAGGATCTGTATGGTGATCCTTGAGAATATGATTTTCCTGGGGATGATCTTCCCCCTCTGCCTCTACCTCTGGCCCACGGAGGGTCCATGCTGCAAATACAACAATTCATTTTATTCAGATAAATAATAGTCTTGCATATCATCTCTAATTTCTTCAGAATAATCATGAATAGAAAATTCTTCTTTGACAATGTTATCAATAATAATATCAATTATAAGACTTTGTAGAAAATAGCAATTAACGTTTTCTCATCTAGAAAAGTTTTATAGAAATTCATGATTAATTTAAATATTCACGGGATAGGAAATCAGGAAGAGAATTATCAACTCCTTTTTTAAACTGAATTTCGAAGTCAAAGGGGGCTAATTGAGCCTTCCATCTTGTAAAAATTAAATTCGAAGCATCATGTTTAAAATCTTTGTTAAACATATATTTGACAGATTGAGCATCAGTTTTTATCAAAAACTTTTGATTGTATAAATCATCCTGAAATTTTAGAACACATTTGACAATAGTCAACATTTCATGGGCCACAGTAGCATATTTTTTCTGAGCTTCAGTCCACTTTCCAAAATAAAATCTTATCAAATATTCACAATTATTGTAGGGATTAACTTGTTTTAAAATTCCACCATAGCCAATATTAGACGCATCTGTCTCAATAATTTTTTGCCAAGCTGGATTAGCAAGAGTTAAACAAGGTAAAGACTTAACCCGTTGTTTAATATTTTTAACCAAAGAAGTATGACTATCAGTCCAAGGTTTTTTATGATCCTTCTTTAGTCTGTCGTATAAAGGGGCCAAATCATGAGATAAATTATTATAAAAAGGGGATATATAATTTAATCTTTCCAAAAATCTCTGTAATTGAGTTCCGTTAGTAATAACATCAGAAAATTTTGATGCAAAATCAATCGATCTTTGTATAGGAGTAATTTTTCCTTGACAAATATTATGTCCTAAAAATCAAACATTTGTTTGAAATAAACTCATTTTTGGTTTTGAAATAACTAAACCATTTTGTATAACAATATTTTTAAAGATATCTAGATGCTTATTATGCATTTCAAATGTTTTAGAGAATATCAAAATGTCATCAATATAAACAATGATGAAATCCAGGTAAGGATTAAATATATCATTCATGATTTTTTGAAATTCAGAAGGGGAATTCTTTAAACCAAAAGGCATAACATTCCATTCATGTTGCCCGAATGGAATATTAAAAGCAGTTCTATAAGTATGCTCTTTAAATATTTGAATCTGCCAATAACCAGATTTTAAATCAAATTTTGAAAAAATATTGGCATCATATAATCTTGATAGTAAATCCTTTTTATTGGGAATGGGATACCTTATCCATTTTAAATACTTATTTAAAGGTTTATAATTAATAACCAATCTAGGAATACCACGTTCCTTTTCAACAACATTATTAACATAAAAAGCTGTGCAAGACCAAGGAGATTTTGAGGGTTTTATCAAACCCTTTTGTAACAAATTATCAATCTCTTTTTTGCAGAATTCTACCAATTCAACGTTCATCTGACAAGGTCGAGATTTAGTAGAAATATCATCCTCAGAAAAATTATCTTCATATGGAAGAGTGACAATATGCTTTTTTCGATTCCAAAAAGCACTAGGATGCTCAGCACAAATATCAATAGCAATTTGTTCGGAAATCAATTTAATCTTTTCCTGTACTTTAGTGGATTTTAAAGTGTCAAATATATTCATACTAAATAATTCTAATTGTAACGAATCAATATGTCTTTGCTTCATGTCAATTAAAGCAGTTATATCTCTAGTTACGGAATCTGTAACAAAAGTGTAACTTATCTTTCTATCCTTATAAGTAGCTGTAAAGCCTTTTGATTCTATGCTAGTAAAAGGATAAATAGCGTTAATAAAAGGTGTTCCAAGTATAATTGGAGGGTAAACTGATTTTTAACTAAGAAAAAGAAGTGAGGAATGCAGACTTTATTCTGACAAATACCCCTATTAGGCAATTTATACTTTATATCTAAAGCATGTCCTGATGCAGATTTAACTATATGAGTAGTTTTTTGAAAATATTTAGTAGGTACTAAACCTTCTTGAATGCAGCTAACATCAGCTCCACTATCAATCATAGCAATATTTCTAATAGAAACACTATTATCAATTAGAATAGTACATTTGATATACCATTTATGGGCAGTAACAATTTGTATCATTCCCAAAAACATATCATGTTTAGAATCAAGTCTAATAGGTTCTTCCTCATTATCATTTTCAGAAATACCTTTGTTTTTATCATTAGAAAACTCAGTTACAGAATTATTTTTCTCTATCTGAGTAATCCTGTGATCACAAATCATTTGATTTTGTTTAAGAGATTTAATCTCCCTTTTTAAACTTTCAATTTCAACCTTTAAATCATCGAAAGAAGCCTCTCTGGTTGGTGTAATTTTATTATTAAGTCGGTTGTTAATTTCTGACAAAGAATAAGGTGCAGAAGATAGAATATTCAAATTCGTTCTTTTATTTTTCAAAAGGTTTTGAAGAACTAGAACTTGAACTTGCAGCCAAATTTATAATTTTTTCACGAAGTTTATCATCAGTAACTTCTTTTAAAAGTTCTATTACATTATCAGATGTAATAGTTTTCATGTTCAAATCTTGAAATTGAGATTGTAATTTATAAAATTCATCATCATCACAAGTACATGTATTACCTTTGCAAGTTGTATAAGTATTATCAATATTTTTATCACTATCAGATAAATCGAGTAAATCGACTTCAACTTCAGATTTTGACTCAGAATTATAATCAGATTCTGATCCAGAAGTGTAGAACAAACCATAAACCTTATCACGTAACTCATCATCTAGTTCTAGGGTTTTTAGCTTCTGAAGCTTACAATTTGGAGCTATATGGCAAAAATTTTCACATTTATAACACTTAATATCAGCAAGATCTCGCTTAGACCTATTTTTCGTAAATCTAGTACACTTGCAATGAGCTTTCCTAGCATCACGCTCTTCTTTGGATCTATATCTCGATCTCTTTTTCTTATAAGGACTGTCTGGGTTATGATACCTATTTTTCTTTTTCTTGCTATGAGCAGAAGTCTCGGGTAAACCGAACTGGGTGCAAAAGTCTCCTAATTGTGATTTTTCCTTAAGCTTATCTATCTTAAGTTGTATGGACAATTTTAACTCATTACACAAGTTTAATCCTTCTTGTGTGTATACTCCTATCAATTTTTCATAGGTATAATCTTTGTACTGAATTTCCCCGTAACTACCCCTTAGAGTTTTTCTTACTCTTTCAGCAAATAAGGAGGGAAGGCCATCTATAAACTTAGCTTTCCAATGTTCATACTTATTTTCGGGTAATTCCATTACTCTACTCATAAAAGTATCTTTATACCATCTAAACTCGCTTAAGGTCCTACATCTAAGGCCATTTAGCAGAGTACGGACAGTCTCGTTCTGATTGGTAAATCTACCATTGAAATGTTCTAATATGGTAAGAACAAGGGTGTAAACAGCATCTTCTCTATTTTTCACTAGAGCCATGCCTAAGTTATCGACTCCTTCGTCAGTGGCTATTGCATTAATAACCATCGCCTTTTCTTCAGTACTTAAATAATTATCCCACCAGCCATGAAGCTAGCCAGTAAAACCTGCAATAATCATTTTGCAAATAGTTCTATCTGTATTTTTTACACTTTTACAGATAGTTGCATATATAAGCATTCTATGCACAAGAATAGTCAATTGTCTATCAGTTAAACCATCAAGATTCCATTCATAAATTTTGGAACCACTATAAGACGTATTAGTCTAATTCCAATCTCGTTCTTCTATTAACATATCTTGAGGAGTAGGGTGATTATAATAATAAGTTTGTATTCTGGGTTTATCGGCATACTTACTATTTTTTTTGGGATAACCTCTGAGTTTATTAAACTCTGACCAGACTTCATCTTTATAATCAGAAGTAGTATCTAATTTATTAGCAAATATTTTTGATAAATCAATAGGTTTAATATTTAAACCGGATAACTTTTTATCAAGAAGTTCTTCTAAATCATTTAACAATTTGAATTTAAAATCCTGAATCTCAGGGGGTCTTTGAACATGAGTAAGAACAATTTGAGCTTCTGATTTGCTTCCTGAAGTAGAGGCAATATCAGTTACCTTCTTGCTAGTACTCATTCCTTTTATCAAAATTGTTAATTCATCAAGTTTTTTATCAAGAAAACTGATATGTTCATCCAAAACTTTAACATATAAACTTAAATAATTATTTTGAGAAATCAAATTATTAATTTCTACTATGCTGACTGCAGCAACATCTTCATCAATAAATATTTGAAATGCAATAAACGTAATACATGTATTATTAGGTAAAACAAAAGGTGCTTGAGGTGGGTATATGGCTTTAGTAATATTACCACTCGCATCTTTATAAGATCTTTCTAAAACCTTTATGTAAAGCGGTAAATAAGTGGTTATAAACCAAGGAACAAAATACATAATTTGATTATCTAAAGCACAAGTTTCATAAAACTCTTGAGAAATATTATTTAATTATTCTTTACTATAAGTATTAAAAAATCAAGTTTTAAACTGGTTTCATTTATTACTAAAAAAATCCCTTTGAACATATTTTCTAGCTTGTGACCCTGGACTAAAATCTATTTGGTGTGGAATCATTAAACATCATTGGGGTTGAAATCTATTTCGGATGCAGAAGGAATATCCTTATCAGAAATATTATCATTATCCTGAACAATATTTGTTTGAGGGTTAATCTTAACCCTTTCAACAAGCTTATCACTAACTTTAATAGAAATTGTATGCAATGATGCAGCACGATTTCTAGCTGGTCCATAGACTGGTTCAACAGGAGAAATATGTTGAATATTAGGCAACAATCTACGATTAGTAAATGAATGCCTACTATGACTAGGATTAATAGTAGGCAAAAATCTATTATTAGAAAATGACTGCCTATTATAAGTGAAACTATTATCATCAAATTGAATGAAAATCCTACCAACCGAATTTTGAGTAATATGAGAATATTCAGTATTACTGACAACATTTGTTATCTGACTTGGGGATATAACCGAATCCAAAGTCCAAGTAGTTGGGAAATTAATTTCTTCCCACTTAATAGGTCTCCTCATGGTGACCTTAAACTTTGCAAAATTGGTTTCCACCAATATAGTCTGATGGGATGTATCATACAGTTTACATCTAGGGTTTAACACAGATAGTAATTTAAAATAAATTCTATACGATAAACATATAAGTTCAGATCCAGGCGCATAATTATAACCATGCGTTTTCACATTTAATGTCAATGCATCAAGTATATTAACATCAGATAGAGATAATTGAAGATTGGGTTGAGTATTAAAATATACTGGACCGTAGGCCACAATAGATTCAATAGAACCCATCAGAGACTGTCTAAAATTCAGATTTCTAGCATCTCCAAGAGCAGCCAAAAACGTCTCTGGTAACCCTTTAAAGGTTAATGGCTCAAAAGCAATTTGAACCATGCCAACATGCAGATAATTATACTGATTTTTATATAAATCTACATCTTGTTTGTTTAACAAACGAATAATCTGTTCAGACGAGTTTAAAGCTAAAGATTGCTCAGTAGTTTTAACTAGTTGTTTTGAAGAAAGTTTATCAAACCATCCATAATCATAAATTGTTTTGATAGGGACTTTAGGAATTGTCCATTTGTTTAACAAATCAAGATTTTGAGGTATATCTACCTCTTCAAGTCTATTATTTTTCATACTAGTTTCTCCTAAATTCATAACAAAAAATAACATATCTATGCCGAATACTTCTGGGAAATTGCTTCTGCCCAGAAATCGAGCCCAGATGAGAGCCCAGATCGAGCTCAGGGTCGAGGGACACGATCGAAACCCAGATCGAGCTCAGGATCGAGGGCCACGATCGAAGTCATGATCGAGCCCAGAGTCGAGAGCCACAATCGAAGCCATGATCGAGCCCAGAGTCGAGGGCCACGATCGAAGCCATGATAGAGCCTAGAGTCGAGGGCCACGATAGAAGCCATAATCGAGAACCAGGATCAAGAACTAGGATCGAGGGGTAGGACTGAGGACCAGGATCGAGGACCTCGATCGAAGGCCAAGATCGAGGCAGAACCGAGGATGTTTGGGCAGAATTATAAAAATAGGGACTTCGTCCCATTTGCCATTTTTGACAAATTGGAGCTTGAGGAGAGGCGATTTTTGATATAATTTCAAGGAAAACTTGAGGTAAGTCCCTTGTGATAATTTCTACTCCATAATATTGAATTATCATCGAATAATCCGACTAGATTACATAATTTTGAGGTGTAAATCGGAGATTGGAACTTAGAAATTTGGAAATAAGATTTGTAGATTTGAGGGTCGAGTTGAGGTCGGATTTTGGTAAAAATTGGTATGGGTAGACTCGTGGTTGAATGGGCTATCGGATTTTGTAACTTTTGTCGGGTTCCGAGACATGGCAATTTTTGAGCTAATTTTTGAATTTTTATGGAAAAATCATTATTATCTTGTGAAATTAATTCTAATGAATTTTATTGACTGAAACGAATTATTTGTGACAAGATTCGAGGCATTCGGAGGCCGATTTGCGAGGCAAAGGCATAGCAGAGTAAAAAGTTTCACGATTTGAGGTAAGTAACGATTGTAAATCTAGTCCTGAGGGTTTGAAACCCCGGATTTTGAATCATTCTACTATTTTTAGTAACGCACAAGCTAGGTGACGGGCGTGTGGGCGTTACTGTTGGGGATTTGTGACTTGGTCCGCCTCGTAGTAACTGTAAAGTTGCATACTTTGTTGAAACCATTCATACTTATATGTTTTAGAAAGATTTTCTGTAAATTGGGCTGAATGCCATATTTGGGCCTTGCGCCAATGCTGTTTGGACCCGTAGGGGCTATTTCTTACCATCCTCTCACTGTTTTCGATTGAAAATCTATACTTAGTCATGTTTATACTTGTTTACCGCATAACTCAATTTTATGACTCTATTTTGATGCATATAAATATTTTGGGCCGAATGCCCTATTATACTAAAATGCCCGAGTGGCCTAATTTGTGAGGATGGGTGTGGATCGGGGCTGCCCGCCTGCAGCATACTTTACGACTGAGTGAGGCCTAAGGCATGATTTGTGAGGATGAGTGTGGATTGGGGCTGCCCGCCTATAGCATACTTTATTATTATGGCACGTGAGTTGTCCGTGCAGATTATAGCGCTTGGGATGAAGGAGCCCCTCCGGAGTCTGTACACACCCCCAGTGAGCGCAGGTACCTACTGAGTGCGAGTGCCGAGTGCCGAGTGCCAAGTGCCAAGTGCCGAGTGCTGAGTGACTGGGAGGCAAGAGTGATTGTGAGGTATGCCCGAGTGGCAAGAGTGATTGTGAGGTATGCCCGAGTGGCACGAGTGACTGTGAGGTTTGCCCGAGGGACTATATATGAGTGATGTTTTGCTCGAGGGGTTATTTATGATTTTATCATTTTTGCTCACCTTTGCATTGAGCCTTTGTTTGAAAAACTGTTGGAAAAAAAGTCTTTAAATGATTTTTACTAGAACTGGGTTTAAACGAGATGTTTGATTCAAATCCTGATATTTTTTAAGAGCATGTGGTATTTTACTGAGATTTCCTGATATGAACATTATATGCTTTATTATTCGTCACTACTGCTCAGTCTTTATTTATTGTTGTTACTGAGTTGGTGTACTCACGTTACTCCCTGCACCTTGTGTGCAGATCCAGGTGTAGCTGGACACGGTAGTGGTTATTGAGTGTTCTGGTTGCAGATTTTCTTGGAGATAGCAAGGTAGCTGTTTGGCGATCGCAGCCCCTGCTCTTCTCCCTCTTATCTTCCTCTAGTTGTATTTAGCTATTTTTCGGGCTGAGTTAGCCTTGATATTGTTAGACAGATTGTAGTATATGCTCATGACTAGTGACACCCCGATGTCGGGCTTTTCTTTTCCGCACTTCTGTTTTTCTTTGATTTGAACTCTTTAAATGGAGGTTTTATGTTAAATAACCTTGAAATTATCTTTGAAATGAAAATATCGGTTTGTTTTGGAAATGAGTCGGCTTGCCTAGTTCCACGATAGGCGCCATCACGACAGGGGTTAGTTTTGGGTCGTGACAGATTGGTATCAGAGCCTAGGTTACATAGGTCTCACGAGTCATGAGCGGGTTTAGTAGAGTCTTGCGGATCGGTACGGAGACGTCTGTACTTATCTTCAGGAGGCTGCAGAACCTTTAGGAAACTCCACATTCTTGAATTCTTGTCGTGCGAATCTGTTGATTCTAGTAACTAAACATCTGTTATTTCATTCTCTCACAGATGGTGAGGACTCGTACTACCGGTCAGGAGGGCCAACCACCAGTACCACCAGCCAGGGCCGCGAGAGGCCGAGGCCGCGGTAGAAGTCGTGGTAGGGGCAGAGGTGCAGCCCATACAGCAGTTGAGGCAGTACCTACAGATCCACCGGTTGTCCCAGATCAGGACCAAGTTCCAGTTGTTGATGCACTAGCTCAGGCACCACATGTGCCTATTGTGAT